AAAAAAAAAAAACTTAAAAGGTACTCCATGCCAACTACAAAACAAAAGTTAGTAATTGAAAAACCCCAAAATTAAAGTATAAATGGCTTGACCCCTCAATGTCCCCAGTGGAGTCGCCAAACTGTTGATGTGCCAAAATGGATGGAATCGCCATCTATCCAAATAAGGTGGGATAGATCACCAAAGTCTACATAGAAATTGATAAAGCTTGGAGGGTCGATTAAGCATGGGGAAAGTGTTAGGCACCCCACAACTTCCATGTAAATATGTGGTTATCACATACTTTAATTTTGGGAATTTTCAATTTTTTTTATAAAAATAAATAATAATCATCAAGAGAAATAAACACACACAAAAAACTTCATTTAAAACACCTCATTGTCCTTTTTCTATTTCTATTTTTTTTCTTGTTTCCATTTCTAATGCATCTCTTAAGGTAAATAATAACATATCCTAAAAAAACTTCATGCATAACACAAAACTGACTTTTCCTAAAACTAAAAAAAAAAAAAAGAAAATGCAAGTGATTACTTTGGATCACAGGAAACAAAACTAATGGGGGAGGGGGGAACAAGTGAAATCATGTTTGCGGCAAGGACACAACCAATAAAAATTTTCTTTCTCAAGATCAAGCGCAGACAAACCATGAAAGAAGCAATTTAAAAGGGAAACCAAGCAATTACACATAACAAAGAAAGGAAGAAGAAGAAAAGAATATGACAGAAAATACTAAAGAAGAAAAAAAAAATATGAACAATGCACACCTGAAGAAAATAGGAAAAATTAGACTTTATTTTCCTTGAAGTTTTGGATACAAGCTATTGTATTTCCCTTTCTTCTCTGCTCTCTTTCACCTTCTCAACTCTCAGATTTCTCTTTCTCACCCTCAATTTTTGAATGCCCCCATAAAGCTGAAGGCCCCCTTTCTATAGGCAGAGGGAAAACCCCAATCCTAATGTGCTTCTAATATCCAATCCAAATCTCTAAGATAACAACTCACTCCTATTTAGAATGGGATTTCTTAGTTTTTCCCACATCTACCCCTTTTCAAGTCTAGATTAATACCTTCTATGCTTAGAACTCCCCACTTTGAATCAATTTCGAACTCTTTTTTTGCTCCTCTTGTTGATGACTTTCAATCTTTGAAATTTTCTTCAAAACTTGAGTAGATTTAGGGACAAACCAAGAAAATTTTGTGCATTTTTCTGTTTTGAGTGGGGTTGGTGGTAAAGCAAAGAAAGCAATGGGTTCGAGCAACTAGGGTTTTCATCCTTTATTTTTACCTACAAGCAAAACGACGTCGTTTTGCTAATTCTTCCCCTTAGCCCTTTAAGTTTCATGCTTTTATAAAAATAGTCCATTGACTTTTACTTTTATCATTTAGCCCCAATTAAAATTAGGTTATGACAATTTTTTTTTTGGTACTTTTTCATTTACTTGTACTCTATCTTTCGCTAATTTTCTTACAATGGCATATGTTAACTTAATTTCACATATTTTATCATTTTATTTATTTATTTATCTATATTCACCCTCACTTTCTCTATCTATATTAATAATTTATTTGTTATTATTCCTTTTCCCTTTATCTTCCCACTATATTATTCTTTTTTAGTTACTCCTTACACCTTTATCAATCATTTTATATTTTTTTCTCTAGTTGTCTCTCACACTTTATGCATATTAGACATATTCTAAATTCAAATATAAAGTATTCTATTGGTACCTTTTTACTTGATTGGCGCATCTCTCAATTTAACATATTATACAATATACTCATTAAAAAATTATTATTTCCTGATATGAAATTAAAGATAACAAACTTAAAGATACATCTATGCATATAGCATGCAAAAACCAACTAAATGGACTATATTTATACTATATTTAAGTAGTTGAACTGGATTGGAGTCAAAATGTATATAAAACCAGAAGGTATACCAATCACAAATAATTAAGTATTACAATAACATACAAATATCTTAAAATCATGAATAATTCAGTGATATAAATTTGTACACATATCCAAAAAGTAATAAGTGTCATAACTCAAAATTTTTAAAATTTTATTTTTATTTTAGTTTTTATCTTCATTAATACGTTCAATTTTTACTTTCATTGTTAGGTTGGCGAGCAAAAAGGAAATGTCACGAAAAAGTGGGAGAAGAAGAAAGAAGGGACTTAATTGAAGAGATGAAAAGTTGAAGGGTAAAATGCATTGAAGTCGAAAATCAAAAACCCAAAATCCCAAAACCAAAACCCAAAACCCAAACCCAAAACCAAAACCAAAACCCAAAACCCATTTAACCCAAAAACCAAAAAAAAAAAAAAAATCAGATTAAAAAAAATATATAAAATAAAAAAAAAGATTAAATCTTTTGCTCTCCAGAAACTTCTTCTTCCCCACACACCCCGGCCTTCTCCCTGCGCCCCAAGCCCTGCGGCCAGCTCCTCTGCACCGAACCAGAATCAGCCCTCCTCTGCGCCCCACTGTCGGCAATCATAACTCCCTACGCCCCCTCTTGCGCCCGGCCTTGCTCTGCCCTACCCTCTGCGCGCCTGCACCCACTTCTGCCCAAGCCCAAATCTGCACTCATCACCAGATCCCCTGCCCTTGCCGCCCGGCCTTGCTTCCTGCACCTGCCCTGCACCGAGCCTGGCCCCAATCCCGCGCCTTCTCCACTAAATCCCCTGCCTTTTCTGTGCTCGAATCACCTGCACTTTGCACCAACCATCACCGCCAATCATGCCCTGCACGCCCGAGCCATCATACCCCCCCTACGCCCCTCTGCTGCACTTGCCCTACGCCCGACCCTGCCTTACCCCAGAGCACCCCCTGCTCACCGCGCCCCGCCCCCAATCCCGCACCTCTGCACTCCTGCTTGCTACAGCCCCATCCTTGCCTCACATGCCAAAAAAACAACAATACCGGACAAATTAGCATCCTCAGAGGAAGTTTTTTTTAATGTTATTTTATTTTATTTTATTGAATTGTTTGGGTATATATAGAAAAAAAATCAGATTGGAAAAGGGGTTTTTTTTTTTTTTTT